GTGCTACCTTGCTGGGAGGGGAAACAATTAACACGTCACATACAGACAGGCACAAATCCAATGGAGGAGTTCCTCTTCTGTGGTTTGCAGGGCATTGCTCCAGAACCCCCAGGCACAGGCAGCCAGAGGGAGCCTGCGTCTTTCAACTAATACAGTAGGCTGATAGAGTCAGGGGTGTGGGGCTTTAACAGACAGGAAGAGCTTTGAGGAAAGTGGAAGTTTGGCTGGGTAAACGTCCCTTCCTCACATCTTCATTCCATTTTCATTCGTTGGAGAAAATTGGAATTGATTTTTATAATAATTTTCATCAATTGATGAAAATTGGAATTGATTTTTGTTTAATTTTCATCACTGAAAACATGCAGCTATCGAAAATATTTTCCTCAACAAAATTAGCACTGCCAGGGACCCAAACTCACCTTTTCTATAGGTGCTCTGGGATGGTCCAAAATAGCCATTGTGTATTAAACCCACAGTTTCTACTTGTCTCTGCAGGTGGAAATATTCCTAATTAATTAATAAACACTCCGCACAGAGGATTGCCTAAAATTTCCTAATCTCCCAGCATACAACTTTAATGTTGAAACAGGGGTAACCCTATGTTCCAACCGGGCTACCAAGGGATGTCTTTCAATATCGTCATATCATACATTTTCTCTAAAGAGAAGTGCACACCATGTCACTTGTCTTCACTTTATGGTCAATGAAAGGGCCTTATTAGACAATCCACAGGGCCAGGGCTGAATCATTTTAGTGTATTCTCTATTACTTGCAATGGCTTAGAACCCCCTCTCTTCCCACCTGCGGCATCATGTGCATCAGAATTAATGAATGAAATGAAATTTGGATCCATTCGTTATCTGAATCCGAGAATTCAAACAAATCCATGAATTTAATTAATTTCCCCATGGGCCCAACCTACTATCGCATCATGGATGAAACAGATTAAACTAATTCAGTCAGTAATTTCGTTATAACCTTTTTCGGAATCGTTTCCATTTTTTTTTCTGTGTCCATTTGGAGATTCGGATACATCTGAATCTCCGAAAATGACATTTTCATCAGAAAAACAAATAAAAATTGCACGTCTGTTGCTGTCTACCTATATAACAACAGGGTGACAGGGCAGGAGCTGGTACAGACAAGAACGGATGTTTCCAGGAAGTGTTCAAATTCCTACAAAAATTGCTCAGGTCACAAAAATATTTTTTTAAAAGTGGATATACAGTGGATATAAAAAGTCTACACACCCCTATTAAAATGTCATGTTTCTGTGATGTAAAAAAATTAGACAATGATAAATCATTTCAGAACTTTTTCCACCTTTAATGTAATCTATAAACTGTACAACTCAGTTGAACAACAAACTGAAATCATTTAGGTGGAGGGAAGTAAAAATAAAAAAATAAAATAATAATGGTTGCATAAGTGTGCACACCCCCTTAAACTAATACTTTGTTGAAGCACCTTTTAATTTTATTACAGCACTCATTCTTTTTGGGTATCAGTCTATCAGCATGGCACATCTTGATCTGGCAATAGTTGCCCACTCTTCCTTGTATTTTAACCCTTGCTATACTACTTATCGGTTAAAAAGGAAAAGAAGGTACGATTTCTTACTGTATACTGCATATGCAACCTGGGTACGTCACAAACATAAATTGTGAGGGTTCAATTAAGCTTTCAGTACTAACTTAAGGCAATTTGACATGGGCAAAGAGAGATATGTGTATGCAAATATGAAAATGTAACTGTCAGCGTATAGGTGTTTAGCTTTATCTGCAGTTGAAACATGACATTTTAGACAGTTCTAGTTTCTGCTTGCATTTCAAGCCTGGTGTGCTGCATTAAGTGCAGTGTTGGCATAATCTTCTCTAGTAAGCGTAGCACATTTTTAGAATGTCCTGCCAACAATAATGGAAATCTTGATATAATGGAGAAGTAAAAATCTTACCTTAAATACTTAAATAATAGAAAGTTTAATGGTGCAAAACGTTAAGACACTGCGCCAACTACTGTACTTGATTTTTCTGTATGCTAATTCTTTTCCAACAAACCATTCATGGGTTTCTATACTAATATGCTGATGACTATGGAATATAGCATACCGATAGATTTAATGGTAATACATTTAACCACTTCCCAACTGGGGGGTTACGCTCTTCAAAAAAATAGCATATTTTTTTTCTTTTAGCTTAATTATTTAATAAATGAAAAATTAACTTAAAAGCGTTTGCCATTCTATCTTGTAACTGTGTTAGTCTAATTTAGAGACAAAAAACCCACAGTATAATTAGTCTTGTAAAGAACTCATGCTTTGGGTAGCCTGTAAAGTTGGCTAATACAGAATGGTCGAATGTGCATGTAGACCTAACTGTCTCAGCACATCTGCTGGCAGAGATTCTCTCCAGTGGACAGGGTGAATTTTCACATTCTGAAGATAGCTGAGGCAGTGCATTGTCATGGAAGAAACCATAATGATCAGTCAGGACTTTCCAACCTTCCAGAAGGTTCGAATTGGGCTCTCTAAGGGCACCCATTTCTCGGTGGTTTCACTTTTTCTTTTTTTTATTTTGACAACTTTAATCTAATTCATTAAATGCAACAAAAAGCAGGGTGATTTACAAGTCAGTAATGATTTGTAAATAACAAACCGAAACCGTAAGTGACTAAATCCTCGTAGCTTCCAGGCTTATTTGTCACAGAGGAGGGGAGGGTACAAATGACTGCAGCTGCAGCCACGATCCTGGTAGAACCGCTCAAGAAGAGGATGTATATGTATAGTACATATGGTGGTTTTGAAGGTACAGGACAAAATATGTGCATTTCTTATTTTTTTACTACAGGAGCCTGCAAAGCATTGCAACTGTGATCAGTGGATTGCAGGTGAGGTGTCAGGCTCCTGCATGTCAAGCTCCCTCATACTCTTCCCCCAGCTTTCTTACTGCCATACAGGCTGTTGGTTAGCACTAATCAGCGCTGGTCAGTGCCCTTGCATTCCATTGAGAACTACAAGTCCATCTGTTGTGATGACAGGTGAAACTTGTGGTTTACTCAGTCACAGATCTCTGTGAATGTTTGACACGGCTGTGTGGATGGAGCCCCGCATATCTGCAATGATTTTAAGTGTGATAGCCACTGCAGGGGAAAGGATCAGCAGCCGAGGAGAGAGAGGCCAGAGCCAGAACATGTTACACTCAAAATACAGGTGTAATGACGTCCACACCAGGCTAGTCCACACTCTGGTCGATGGCAAACTTCCTCTCCTACAATTGATGCTTTGTAGAAAACCTCATTGGTGTTTGGATTGGCTGCAGTATCATCGGCTTTGAACTTATACAGTATCCTTTCTATGACTCCGACTTCTCCTTTCAATAGACCTGTGTCAGACTTCAAGTATTTAATGTTACAGGAGCAGAGACCTACCCACATCCTTTCTACCATGTACAAAATGTTGATGACCACATATTCCTCTGACAATCCTCCATTTTTGACCAGATGGGAATCGGAGCTGGGCTCGTCCACTTCGCAGGCTAACTGGAATAAACACCTCTCCCTTACTCACATGCTCTCCATAAACTTTATGAGATAAACTACAATATCCTCTCTCGATGGTATGGTTGTCCTATTGACTTCCATATAATTGATCCTAACAATCTGGAGGTTTGTTGTAGATGCCTGGCAGATAAAGTGATCATGACCCATATTTGGCATACTGCCCCCTCATTGCCCCCTTCTGATCAAGAATATTTTGCATATATATAACAAAACCACGGCTTCCTCTCTTCAACCTAATGCATGTATCACCTTGCTGTCGATTATCCCAGGATCCTTCAAATCGGTTAGAACAGATATTTTTCGCCACATGCTTAGGGCAGCTAGAACTGTCATAGCTCGTAACTGGCGTAAATCTCTATAGTAGACTGGGTATGTAAGATGGATGAAATCCAGTCCATGGAAAGGACAATTCATGCAGAAGACAGGCCACTGGAACAGCTTCCCATGGTGTGGACACAATGAGAATACTTCTGCACTTTAGCCAAATTTTCAATATTTATAAATTATGGGAGCCACCTTTTTCTCCCCCATGCCTCTGACCCCTTTTCCTTCTGATGAGTCTTGGGTGCGCTTGTTGGGGTTCTTCCCCCTCTCATTCCTTCCCTTCTTTTATTCCCTTCTCCTGCCTATTCCATTCCCTCCCCCCTTCTTTTTCTTCTTTCTTTTTATCCCCCCATCTTTTTCACCTTTAATACAGGGACAGAACACTTATCTGCATGAGTCTATGCCCCCTTGTAGCTGGTTCTTGGCAGCGCCTGCCTCTGCCCCACCCTGCTCCCCATTTGTCTATTACAACCCGCATGATTGTTATTAAGTCTTTGCGGGATTTCGTTTTTAGTGTTCTTTTTCTTTCAGTTTGCAGATTTTTCCTTGTTGTATTGTTACTTAGTGATGACACCAGATGCCTTATACACTTTTCGTGTACACTTTTCGTATTAGGTTGCTATGCAACTACCTGTTTGGTTACTCTTGGAGATCATGTAAACCATATGTCCTCTGATTTGTTACACTACATGTACTTTCATACCAGCACCCGTTATACTTTTGAAATCTAGGAAATGTGCTAAAACTCCTCTATTTCCATTGTACATTGCATATAGGTTCTGTACGCTTTTGCACAGAACGTACAGAGCCTATATGCAATGTGACATGTTTTTCTAAATTTTTTCAGATTTTTATAATAATTTTGAAACTTGCAATAAACAAAGATTATACATAAATACAGGTGTAACATGTAACATAAGGTGAACTTATCCTTTAACCACTAGCCTACAGGGCACTTATACACCCTTCCTGCCCAGGTCAATTTCCAGCTTTCAGCGCTGTCACACTTTGAATGACAATTGCGCGGTTATGCAACACTGTACCCATATGAAATTTTTATCATTGTTTTGAGACAGATAGAGCTTTCTTTTGGTGGTATTTAATCACCTCTGGGATTTTTATTTTTTCTTAAACAAACCAAAAACCACTGAAAATTTTGAAAAAAAAAAAAAGTTTTTTCTTAGTTTTTGTTATACAATTTTGTAAATAAGTGATTTTTCTCCTTCACTGATGTGCGCTAATGAGGCTGCAGTGATGGGCACTGATAGGCTGCACTGAAGGACATTGATAGGTGGCACTGATGGGCACTGATGAGGAGGCACTGGTAGGTTGCACTGATGGGCATTGACAGGCATCACTGATGGGCACTGAAAGGCAGCACTGATACATGACACTGATATATGGCACTGATAGGCGGCACTGACTGGCACTGTTAGGCGGCACTGACTGGCACTGATAGGCAGCACTGACAGGCGACACTGACTGGCAGCACTGATAGGTGGCACTGATTGGCATTGATAGGTGGCACTGACTGGCACTGATGGGTGACATTGAAAGGCAGCACAGATGGGCACTGATATGTGGCATTGATGTGGCACTGATGGGCACTGGCACGTGGCACTGATGGGCACTGGCACGTGGCACTGATGGGCACTGGCACGTGACACTGATGGGCACTGACAGGTGGAACTTCTGGGGCCACACTGATCATCAGGGCACACTGATCATCAGTGCCCTGATGATCAGTGTACATGTCCCCTCCGCGGAAAGCCGATTACCGGCTCTCCTCTCGAGCTGTCAGCGTGACAGCTCGAGAGGAGAGAAATGCCGATAACCGGCATTTCCGTGTTTACATGTGATCAGCTGTGATTGGACACAGCTGATCACATGACTGAACCAACATCTTCGGCTCTTTCCGTGATCCTCTGTGTCCGAGGGACACAGCGCACCGCCGATCGCCGCGCTGCGTGCTTCCTGAGCTGCGCATGCGCAGTGAGAATGGTAGGAAGTCATATGACGTCCTATCAGAACGAGAGAACCACCTTGCACCCGTCATTGTACTATAGGGCAGGCGGAAGTTGGTTAAACTATAACTAAAGTTAATAAAAACTTTTTTTTTAGAACACCTGTCAAGTTTTTACTGTTGTCTGTGCCCCATTAGGGAAATACAGCCTCTCCATCTGTCCTGTTTACCATTATCGCTAGTGAAAGTGAAAAAATGGCAAATTTAGGGTTGTCCCCAGAACAGTAGTATAGGGCAAGTTCTACTAGGGACACTTTTTCCGGTGACCCTGGTTGACAACCAGGGATTCCCTCACTTTGGAGTAATTTCCTCTCACTGTTGATTTGGCTATGGGACAGAAAGTGAAATATCCCAAATGGGACAAGGATAGTAAAAATAAAACTGACAGGGGCTATAACCCTTCCTTACTCTATCCAAAGTGAAAAAAGTTCTATTCTAATAGAATAGAGAAGGGAGAGAGCAAAAAAAACTACCCATGGTTGAAAAAATTCAACATGGTCTGCTAATTGTTCTCCCATGAAAGGTTGGCCGGAGGATGTCTGGTAAGCTCAGGCGGTGGAAGATTTGTTTTTGGCTTTTGAATATTGATGTGATTGCTTGAAAAATGGGGAAGCAAAAAAACAAACTACAATACATGTATGCCCCTTACATGACCCCTCTCATGAATACTATTGTTCCAATAAGCATAGTTGATCATACAAACAAATGTGAGCTGCATTTTAACCCCAGTTCAGCTTCCTCTATACTGGTATACATGGACCTCCATTATGCCTTGGTCTTATACCACACTGTGAATCTTAAATTACATTTTGCCGTAGGAGTATATCTTGGAGGAGAGCAGTAAATGCAAGACTTAGAAACATGCAAGGAATGGCGATAATTAAAAGGTAATAAAGAAAAGCATTAGAAAGAAAAGATTTTAGTGACCAGGCGAGAGTCTTCAGACATCTGTTTTATCAGTACTGCTTTCCACACACATATAATTAGACACGAAATGCTTGTCTGCAAAACAGCTTAACTGCCTCATAGTAAGCTGTTTATTAGTTCTGTACCGTAACTAGACGTAACCAAATCTTTGTTAATTCAACTAAACATGTGTGTGTTATACACACAACTATAACCTTCAGCCTGCACTTAACTGACAGGATCCTGATGGTGAAGTGCCTGCTGAAGACATTTGGTTATAAGGGAGGAAAAGTGATTCAAACATTTGTTACAAAACAGATGGTACGGTGGGAATTGTAATTTGGGGTTAAAGTATCTTGTGCAGCTATAAAATTTTTTCTTCAGCAGTTGTGTGAACTGCTGAAGTTCTAGTTTTATTAGCCTGCTGAGGTGAGAAGCATCCTACAGTAAATTCATCCTACAGATATCTTCTCAAGATCCTGGAATTCGGCACTACAGACATATAAAACATAAGTCATAAGGTGAAATCGTGATATTGACATGATTGCAAATCCTAAACCTAAAACTATATTTTAGAAAGTGATGTTAATTCCTGAGCATTTTTAAAGATTGCCCATAGTATCACAATTTACACTAAACATACATTCCATACAAAATCCTTTGTGATATTTTTTTGCTATAAAATTCAGACTTGAAAGTGATATCCATCCATATATCCTTATTCATTATTTAATTGAAAAACATCTATGCTGTAGGTATTTCCTAATTTTTAGTCCTGAACAAATAATATCTTCTTTAGTATAAGAGACCAGTGGGTTGTGCTAAATACCTTTTATTACAAGAATGTTGTGTAGTGATGTTGCCCTTGTAGTCCTGCATGTTGAAGATTCCTCATGCTAGTCTGTACAGCCTCAATGTGCAGCATGTTCTCTGGAAGCCACTATATGTTTTCTATACATAGAACAGGCTTCAAATGACCCTTGCTCACTGATGTGGCCAATGGAAATTTTAAGAACCCAACAAAGGCTTGTAGTAAACCCCAAATTTTCCATGACCACCACTGACAACTTCACTGCTTGAGCTTCAAACAGCTATACTCCCAGGTGATATTTTATAGTCTGACCACAATAGTTCACCTGTTTTTAACCACTTGCCCTCCTGAGGATTTACCCCCCTAATGACCAGGCCTCTTTTTGCTACTCGGCGCTGCACTAATTCAACTGATAATTGCGCGGTCATGCAATGCTGCACCCAAACGAAATTTACGTCCTTTTTTCACACAAATAGAGCTTTCTTTTGGTGAATTTGATCACCTGTGCGCTTTTTATTTTTCACGCTATAAACAAAAAATACCAAAAATTTATAAGAAAAACAATATTTTTTACTTTCAGCTATAAAAAATATATAGCAAACTCAAAGTTAGCTATAAATTTAGGCCAAAATGTATTCTGCTACAGGTTTTTGGTGAAAAAAATCCCAATAAGTGTATGTCGATTGCTTTGTGTGAAAGTTATAGCGTCTACTAACTATGGTATAGATATTGCAATTCACGCCATTTTTTTGCTATACAGCGCTGTGCTAGTTTAACGGACAATTGCGCGGTCATGCAATACGGTACATAAATGAAATTTATGTCATTTTTTCACACAAATAGAGCTTTCTTTCGGTGGTATTTGATCGCCTGTGCATTTTTTATTTTTTGCGCTATAAAACAAAAAGGCTGACAATTTTGAGAAAAAAAAACCAATATTTTTGGATTTTTGCTATAAAACATGTCCAGTAAAAAAAATGTAAAAATCAGATTTCGTCAAAAATTTCGGCCAAAATGCATTCTGCGACATGTCTTTGCTAAAAAAAAACCCCAATACGTGTAAATTAATTGTTTTTTATGAAAGTTATAGCGTTTACAAATAGCGGGAAAGATACTCGGATTTTAAATTTTTTTTATACTAATAATGGCGGCAATCAGCGACTTATGGCTTCGATCGGTGACTTATGGCGGCGATCAGCGACTTATGGCAGAACTGCGGCGGACATTCTGACACTGGGGGGGGAACTGACTTGGGGTCACTGACATCCCCAGTGACACCAATACAGTGATCAGTGCAAAAAAAACACTGACACTGTACTAATGGCACTGGGGAGGAAGGGGTTAACTTTTTTATTCATTGAAAGGGTTAACTGTGTGAGGGGAGTATTTTACTAGGGGGCGGGGGGTGTGTACTGCATGGGACACGCTGATCGGAAGAGAGAAACTCTTCTCTCCAGCTCAGCATGTCAGGAGCTGTCAGGGAACTGACAGAAAGTAGAGCTACTGCAGCCCTGCTCTCTGTCAGTGATTTCCGCTAATCGGCGGGACACAGCCGGTAATGACCGGCTGTGACCTGGCGACTGACACCCACGACCGGGATCGGCGGTGCAGGTAGGGCGGCAGCGCGCCTCGCGCCCCCCTACCTGTTTTGCAAACGCACGTTTTAAAACGTGCTTTTGCCCAGCCGTGCAGCCCTGCCGCCGTATTTCTACAGTGGCTGGGCAGCAAGTGGTTAATACTGCAGTGGCATACAGAATGTTCATTTAAATTCATATGTTTGGGATTATTGATCTCCATAGAAGGTTTCTTCTGTTTACAAGCAGGCCTTCAGCAATCTGTTTGAATACAGGAACCTTTGTGTTGTGCATGTATCCTTTTCATACTGTAAGTCACAGCATCCAGAATGCTCTTCCACACAAAGCTAAAGCTGGCCATACACTGATTGAAATTTGGCTGCTTCAGCAGAGACTGACTGAATTTCGACCAGTGTGTTGCTGTTCCTATTCAATAGAAGTCAACTGTTTGATTGACTTCCACTGAGGGAACATTGTGGAAGACTTCGTGGACTAATGGCCGAAGCCAAACAGTAGCAATGGCCTTGAAGACCCTGATGTTCGAGTTGAACATCAGTTTGACATTGGCCGTTCAAATGTGCAGTGAACGCACGAACGGTAAGAGCATTCGGAGGGCTGTTCGCCAGCCACGCCCCAAAATGCACGGCGCTCTTACAGTGCATTGTGATTGGCCAAAGCAATACACCTGACCACAGGAAAGGTGCAATGCTTGGGCCAATCACAGCACAATTGGGCAGAGCTAGCAGTGAAGTCACTGCTAGCTCCTCCCAATTGTTTACATCTGACCGGCAAATGTCAGCTTGCGGAGAGTGCTCGGTGGATGCAAACGGCTCGGCGGGTATCGTTTTTTTATTTCGGTAAGTTGGCGTCATTGTGACAACACTGGACACCATGATTGATGATGGATTACAACGATGGAACCATTTTTTTGGCTTTTTTTTTTTTTTTTATAATAAAGAACTTGTCAAAAACTTACATACGATGTACCCCATTCACAAAGGGGTGGGACTGGGATCCGATAAGTCACTCCCCACAGACCCCCACAACCACAAGCCCAGGATTGTGGGGAAGAGGCCCTTGTCCCCATTGGCATGGGGACACTGTCCCAAAACCAAGGGCATCAGGCCTGGCAAGCTGCGGGGGGGGCACTCATTCACCCCCCCTTTCTTGGCCTACCAAGCCAGTGCTTGGATCAAGGGTCTGGTAGGAATGTATGGGGGACCTCACACTTTTTTTCCCCCATTTTTTGGGGGTTGGGTTCCCCTTAAATGTCCTACCAGGCCTAAAGAGCCTGGTATGGCTTTTAGGGGGAACCCCATGCACTTTAAAAAAAATTAAAATTACTGTGGGGTCCCACCTAACTTTCCTACCAGACCTAAAGGGTCTGGTATGGATTGGGGGGGGGGGGGGGGGGCCACGCTGTTTTTTTTTTTTTTTTAAATAAAAAATTTAATTAAAAGAAAACATTTCAGTCCTGCTGCAGCAGGTTCTATACATTGCACAGATGTGCAAGTTTGCAGGTAGTTTAAGGTGACCCCAGGCATGATATTTAAAGGAATTTTTCATATTTATTTTTACTTTAGGAAGTGAAAAATCACTTCCCCTATAAAAATGGTACTTTTTAATTTTTTTTTTTTACCTA